ATATTGGTTAATGTTAGAATTCTCACAATTGAAAACAACTATGGTTAATATTAGAATTTTCATCATTAAAAATTGTGAATTTAGAAATTAATACATTATTATAAGAAAAACTACACAGTGTCTAAATGAAATGGATTCAACTTTTGAGAGCATAACTCCGAAATAATTATAATTATTAAAAAATATCTTGACAACAAATAACTAATGTGCTGACAAAAATCAAATCATTATACCATTGATCATATTATTTTAAAAATATCCTTGAACCCTGTTAATTGTTGCCATCAAACTTTCAACTATTCATGAAACACAATTCTGTGAAACCACTTATTGCTTATAAATGAATCTGATCGATTCATAACAAAGCTTATGAGAAAATATGTGATTTTATTGAAAGCCAAGTTTAGAAATGAGTTTATAAAACATTGATACTTTGAAAATGTATTTGCAGTATAAAAACTTAAATTCATTTAGAAATATATATGGCAAAAATATGCGATGTGTAGGTTGCCACATTAATATCCTTTTCAATTGATATATGTATAGAGTATGCCCCAATTTTTCTTGTCATAAATTGTTCATTTAAATTGTTTATTTTAAAAAAATAGTAATAATTTATACAAAATAGAAGCAAGTTTGCATCATGTAAATCTTACTTTGGAAATTCAAAGTGAACTCTACTGCTATATTGCATTCTGAATTTGGCAAAAAGGTTCATATTATTGCTATGTCAGTTATTTTCTGTATATTTATCAAATACTCATTTTTTAGGCATGAAAAAGGTATATTTTTGCAAATTATGATCACCAAAAAAATAGCAAAAAAACAAAATTTGCAAATCCGGAATAATTAGAGATATAGGAATATTTGAAGAGAGGTTAGAAATTAGAGATGCTATAAAAACCGTTTTGATTTCTGATTTTTTTGTCAAAATATAATTAGATAAAAATTATACTGCATATTATAACTACGATGTACGAAATAAAATATAATATAATACAATCCAACTGAAACATTATACTACTGGTGTAAAAGTGAGTAAAGGTAGAGAAATTCCTTTCTTTAAAAAAATCTCACAGGCCTGAAGTCCATCGGAAGACTATAGTAATAAATATATTTCAATCATTCGAAATCCATTGTGAAAAATAATATTTCTACCAATTAACTTCGAAAACTTTAATATGAAAAGCTTCAATTTGCTAGAATATAAGGTGATCATACGTCCCTGTTTTGCCGGGACAGTCCCGAATTTCTACCATGTGTCCCGGGTTTTTCTAAAAGCAATAGTTGTTCCGATTTTAAATCTTTTATACCGGATTTAAATCGTTTGTCCCGGATTGTCCCTGATTTTTGAAGGGTATAAGTCTAAAATTGGAATAGGTGCTAATTATTTTTGAATAATTATGAAGAAAATTGAACACAGTTTTATAATTAGTTTGAAAGTTGAAAAACCATAGATCCAGAAATATAAGATATGATATTACATATAGTCAAATAATAAAGTCCTCAGACAGCATTTCTGATTTAAGAAATAATAATAATTTAGCTCAACATATTTAATTTAATATTAATTTATATTAATCTTATATTCGATTTCAATATTGAGCTTATATTGGTTTTGAATGGGATTTTAATATTGTTTTTCAATTTTGGTTTTAT